TCCAGTTATATTTTCACCCTTTGTAATTATGCTATCAGTTGGAAAGCTATGCTTCAGTCTATTGCTGCGTTATCTACGACTGAGGCGGAATATATTGCAGCAACAGAGGGTATCAAAGAAGCTACTTGGCTACGGGGTTTGGTTATGGAATGTGGTGTTTCACAAGGTCAGACCGTTGTGTTCTCAGATAGTCAAAGTGCTATCCATCTCACCAAGAATGATACCTATCATGCCAAAACCAAACATATTGATGTCAGATACCATTTTATCCGAGTTGTTATAGCTGCAGGAGATATAGCCGATCAGAAGATTCATACATTGGAGAATCCAGCAGATATGCTCACCAAGCCTCTTTCTATTCCTAAGTTCAAGCAGTGCTTGAGTTTAGTCGGCTGTTCCGGTTGTTAATTCCACAGTGGGTTTGATCCAAGGTGGAGATTGTTAGCTTTCTAATTAATGTGTGGCTCAAATCCATTGGAACCCATGAAGACATTTTCCTGCATCTCCTCCATGCTGCACTCCACTGCCGCATGTCTTCTCCGACTTTTGCTCTTCTTACATTATTGCCGCTTTCTTTTCTAAGTTGTAATGTATAAAATAGCTAGCTTAGCTTTCTAATTCAATGCATCTCACTTTACCTCAATTCATTTTGAATTTATTTCTCCTTATGTCTCTTCCTACGCATATATATATATATATATATATATATATATATATATATATATATATATATATATATATATATATATATATTCATTATTTCTTATTTTGTCATTTTAATATATTTTCCTATTATTTAACTTCTATAATTCTTAATTTTCGATTCTTCGCTTCCGCTATATTCCTAACATAAGGACGAAACAAAAAAATAAAAAAAAATAAAAAAAAGGGTCTTAAGAATGATTTTTTTTTTTTAAGTAGAGAGGCTAGAGTGTCAATGTTTTAAAATAATAATAATAATAATAATAATAATAATAATAATAATAATAATAATAATAATAATAATGAAATAAATGGATTAAACGCTATGATGTTATTATAATAAACTTTTATTTTAAGTTACTCGTTTTCTTTAACAAATAGAACTTATAATTTATTTGTAACTTAAAATAAATTATAAGCTAATTCAGGAGTTTGAGATTGTGGCAGTTGGTAAGAAGTTTGCTAATTCAATTATATGGTTGAAGGTTTGACAACGCGACCTTGATTGAATTTAGATTAGTAACACATTAATAATGGATTAGAATTGAATGAGTTGTATTGAATGAACTTCCTACAAAGATACATGATACTGGAATATATTAGGATAGGGAGTCATAATCTAACTCTCAAATACGTATAGTCCTAATACTCCCCCTCAAACACGGGGTAAGCTAGTAACCTGTAGCTTGTCTCTAGGAAAAGAAAATCTAGGGTCAGGTAAAGCTTTAGTAAAGATGTCAATAAGTTGATCTTTGGTTGAAATAAAGTTGACTTGAATATCTCCAGAAGCAACTCTATCTCTAACAAAGTGATAATCAATCTCTACGTGCTTGGTGCGAGCATGAAAGATGGGATTTGCACACATATATGTAGCACCAAGATTATCACACCATAACTTAGAAACAGGAATACCTGGCACATTGATCTCACGAAACAGCGAAAGAATCCATATTACTTCAGAACAAATATATGCTAGAGCTTTATATTCTACCTTAGTAGAAGATCTAGCAACAGTTCTCTGTTTCTTACATATCCAAGACACAAGATTAGATTCGAAAACACAGCATAACCACTAGTAGATTTACGGTCTTCAGGACAACTAACCAAATTAGATTCAGAAAAAGCATGATTGAACCATCAGCATTTCGTTGAACCCTTTTGCTATTAACATTGCCTTGTGGCTTTCAATTGAACCATCAGCATTTCGTTTTGTGCGAAAAATCCACTTACATCCAATAACATTCATATATGACCTGGAAGGAACAAGGCACCAAGTTTGATTCTGTAGTAGAGCATTGAACTCTTGATCCAATGCGTCACGCTACTCAAGATACTTAACTGTCTACGTATAACATGTTTTCTTAGTGGGACAAACCTGTGTCGTTAAAGTTGTAGGAGGAGCTTGTGACATTACTCCTAGTTGCTATGACATGGGTGCGAACATTTAGCCTTGTGGACCGACCTCGAAGACGGCCTCGCAGTCATGGTGCGGCTGCCTCGGGCACGGCCTCAACTAGCGGAGCTGTGACAGCCGAGTCCGTGTGGTCAATGGACACGGCTTGGCAGGGCTGTAGAATTGACTCAGCCCAAGGAGAAGATCCTGAAACCAAAGGTTTCTGCAAAACATTCTTAGTAGCAAAAGGAAAAACAGTTTCATCAAACTGCACATGCCTACAAACATATATCTTATTCGTCTATAGATCCATGCACCTATACCCCCTAAAAAACTCAGGATAACCCAGAAAGACACAGGGAGAAGATCTGTAGGACATTTTATGACGATTATATGGTCTTAAGTGAAGGTAACAAAGACAGCCAAAGACACGAAGAAATGATTAGGATGGAGGAGACTTGTGCAACATATGATGAAGGCTAGAATTATTAAGACATTGGAAGGCATTTTATTAATCAAATAAACAGCAGTTTCAAAAGAAAAATCTCAAAAACGATACGAAACAGAGGCATGAGTCATAAAAGTGAGCCCAGTTTCGACAACTTGCCTGTGTTTCCATGCAACACGCCCATTTTGCTCATGAGTGTATGCACATGACTGCCTATGGTTAATGCCTAGTTGCATAAACAAAGAATGTAATTTCTTATATTCAGCTCCTAGATCATATTAAATGGACTTGATTTTATGATTAAATGAATGCTCAAATAAAGCACAAAATTGATCAACTATGACATAAAGATCATATTTCTGCTTCATAGGAACCAGGTGTAACTAGAATAATCATCAACAAAGATGAAAAAATAACGATAGCCATTGGAGGATAGCAAAGGAGTTGGTCCCCAAATATCAGTGTATATCAAATCAAGAACATCGGAACTATTAGACTCAACACGTGCTAATGGGAAACATGCAGATTTTCTCAATTGACACGCTGAACATAAGGACACGCTGATGAGAATGACCCAAACAACGAGCACGAGCAGAGAGAAATGCGGAAGGAGACAAACTTGGAACAGACAAAGTGTATAGGCCACCTGAACTACTGCCCCGAAGGAGGATTTCCTTGGTGGTGATATCTTTTACAAGAAAAAAAAGAAGGATGAAACTCAAAGAACACATTGTTATCTGTAGCAAAACGTTGAACAGATAATAAAGAGGTAGACAAACCAGGAACATTGAATATATTAGACATTGTAAAAAACCTAGAAGGAGCATCAAAAGTAGCATGACCAACACAACTAATAGACAGGCCCATACCATCACCAACTCGTAAAGTGTCATTACCAGTGTACTTCTCTGCGGTAGAAAGGGCAGCTATGTCTGGAGGGGCATTATTTGTAGCTCCAGTGTCCAGAACCCATGTATGAGAATTCAACGAGGTTTTAGCACCCAAACCACTCTGAAATACCAAATTAGCCTAAGAACCCGAAGCTCTTGAATAGCGCCGAAAACAGTTGACTCCTATGTGATCGAAACCATGACAAATTTGGCACTGATCATTAAAGAGCCGAAAACAACTGATTCCCGTGTGATCGAAACCATTACAAATTTGACACCGTTCATTAAAGCGAAAAAAATAATTAGCTCCCATGTGACCGAAACCATAAAAAATTTGACACTGGACATAAAAGTCACGTCTACCACGCTACTGACCTCGATCCAGACTGCCACGATTTCAACTGCCACTGCCTTGTTGCATGATTTCAGGAATTTTCTCTCTATCCGAAATCTTCTCAGCTTTTTGAAATTTCCACGACGCACGCAGAAAGTGATTAATGACAGGATCACCATGCCGGCGTCTGCGCTGCCCCCTTCTGATAGAAAAGGACGTCTCTTATCCATGCAGTTCCGAATCGTAACCTACGATCTAGGCGGGAAGTCGTCGCACTAAGGCGTCCTGGAGTGGGCCGGCAAATCGCTCACCATATGGGGAGCAGAGCAAAGAAATCACCAAAATAATTTGGATTGAAGTGGTGCGGTGATTCAACTAATCTGTTTATCGTTTAAGCATGGCAGTGGCTCTTTCAATAATTATGGCTCTTTCATTTGGCCCACGTGGTGCTCTTGTTGAATGATACCAGATGAGAACTTAATGAGTTGTATTGAATGAACTTCCTACAAAGATACAAGATACTGGAATATACTAGGATAGGGAGTCATAATCTAACTCAAATACATATAGTCCTAATAATGAGGATATAAGATATCATGTTCAAAAAAAAATTAATAAAAATTAGAAAATCTTAAATAAGATAGGCCAAACAAACTCTCATTCGAGGTTTTTTTTTTTTTTTTTTTTTTTTTTTTTTTTTTTTTGCATCATGAAATTGTGATACTAATTTTTTTTTTTAGCAACAAAACCTTTTATTGACGGCAAATAGCTCGGTGATAAGCAAAACCTCTAAGGTCATACATCAAGAGCTAATTTGGCTCCGATTGAAGAAAAGAAGGCGTCCGTGTTTAGTTTTAACCTTCTCGACAACGGTGTCCCCCACTTTAGCCAAACTGACAAACGTCTCGGCGGAGGATCCAAGCGCGCAATCAATCCTTCAGTGAGAAGAAATGCTCCCGCTACCCCCTTGCAGCAAGGTGGCTGGGCTAGAGAGATTAGAGACGATTCAGTTATGATCCTTTTGATGGCTCTTTGGGCGGAGAAGGCTACCCCATTGTGAAGGCTGTCATTGTAAGAGATCCATAGAGTCTAGAGCACTAAGTAGGGAAGCAGTTTATCATAACCACTTCGTGAGGATGAGGCTAGAAGTCACCAAGCTTGACAAGTCACCCGAACCGGGATGTCGCGGTGTAGAGATAAGCCAAAGATCCCATTAAAATGCCGCCGAACTTCCTAGGCAAAGCAGCACTGATGAACGCAGTGTTCAAGGCTAGCACTTGCGCTCTTGCAAAGGAGGCAGATCGAGGGTAAACTGAAGCCAAAGGATTCCAGAATATTTGGGAAAGGCAGCAACTTTCTTAACAGTCTCCACATAAACATTGATATCTTTGCGGGGATCAAATCGCCCCGCACACTAGATGAAGAGAGACAACGCCCCGCTTTTGGTCGGAGGGAATCATAGGCCGAAGAGAACGTGAAGCTGTCATAAACTGATGGAGTCCACACCAAAACTCCTGATGAAGTGGAGATATTGTCCTCGACGAAATCCTTCAAGAACTGCATTCGCCTCCATGTGAGAGAACCAATCTGCCTCGTTGCAACATCAAGATATCTGGTGTGCATGTAGGAGCTCCACAGAGTCCCCCCTTTTAGAAAGTTGAAGTGAAGCTTTGCAGAGCAAGCGTCCTGAATTGATGCTAGACAGCGGACCCCCAAACCGCCTTTATTTGTAGCTAGACAAACTTTCCTCCACGTCACCCAATGTCTTTTTGGTTTTCCATCTATGGTGCCCCAAAAAAATTAGCAAACTTTGCCAATAGAGCTCTCTCAATCTGTTTGGGCAATGGCACAGAGGCCATTGTATACAGAGGAATCATGGACAGGATATGCTTTATGAGTGTTAATCTACCTCCTAGAGATAGCAGTTTTCGTTGCCAGCTGAGCAATTTACTATCCACCTTTTCCAAAAGATGCTGATAATAATGTATTATGTTTCTGCTCGTGAACATGTTGATTCCCAGGTAACGGAACGGTAATGATGTGCGTTGCATAGCCAGAATTCGAGACATAGCAGCCACCCTTCCGTTAGAGCAATGCTTGGAGGTGACGAAAAAACTCTTACTGTAGTTGATTTTCTAGCCGAACCCGGCTTGATATAGTTTTAGAAACTCCGACAAAGCTTTTAGGGAACCAGACGATCCATTGACAAAAATAACAATGTCATCTGCAAATGCCAAGTGGGTAGCTATTGGGCAATTTATCCTCGATGAGTACGGAGCCAGCTTGCCCGTGCCCATTTTTAATATGAGAGAGCAAGACAGAGATTCCGAGGCGAGAATGAAGAGGAGGGGGGAGAGTGGATCTCCTTGCTTGACTCCCCTCGTCGGTTGAAAAAAGCCACAACTTACCCCGTTAATCAAAACAGAGAGCTGTGTCGCCTCCAGAGTGTTCATGACCAGGTTGATGAGAGCCACCAGGAATCTGAATCTATCAAGAACTGCTCGAAGAAAAGGCCAAGAGACACGATCAAATGCCTTCATCATATCTAGTTTAACAACAACATGCGCGCCCTGGCACCTTTTATTTATATGCTATAAAAGCTCAAACACCAACATGACAATATCCTTAATGCGACAGCCTTCAACAAACCCTGCTTGCTCTCTTGAGATAATTTTGGGTAGAATTTTGCTTATCCGAGAAGCGATTATTCTTGTGAAGACTTTGCTGACGAAGGTGCAAATGCAAATTGGCCTATAATCCGCGAAGGTGTTCGGATTTGCTTTTTTGGGGATCAACACTATTTGAGCACTTGCCAATGCACGGGGGATGGGTACACCGGCAAAGAAGTCTAAAGACACCATGTAGAGATCCTCTTTAACTATGTCCTAGCAATGTCGGAAGAAAGCTCCTGAAAAACCATCAGGGCCTGTTGCACTGTCCGGGTCCAATTTCCAAACTGCGTCTTTAACCTCTTCCCTCGTAATGGGCAAGGATAGGGCTGTTATATCTTAATCGAGCACGGTCGCAGAAAGGCACTGAAGAAGACACTCCATTCCTGGACAGTCCTCAGCTGAGAATAACTCGAAGTAGAAGGATACCGCTTCCTCCTGAATGGCCAACTGAGTTGTGAGTATTTCACCCGAGCCACTTTTGATAAAACTAATTCTCTGTCTTCAGTGCCTGTCTTTGGCCACGGCATGAAAGAAACGGGTGTTAGAATCCCCCTCTTTTAGCCATTTCACCCTAGCTTTCTGCTTTTAAAACATTTCCTCCTCCTTGAGACCTTGTGTAACAACCCAAAATTTTATTTTATAAATCCAATTTTTAAAAATTCCAAAATAGCCATTTTCACTGCATTAAAAATTTTTGCGATCAATTGGTATTTGAATAAATTATTTTAGTCACATTTTAAATTAATTCGACACCAAAACTTATTTTTAATCCAAAATCCTAAATTTTCGGGTACTTCGCGTACCAAGTTTTAAATTGAGAAACCAATCTGAGTGGGACCGGGAGAATTTTTAGAATCCTTAAACAAGTGTTCATCTAGAAGATTCTTTGAGAAAATTCATTTTCAACCCCAAAGTATTTTAAAATAGCATTTCTAGTCCTTGGTTCATGAAGCATGGTGGACCACAAACCATCCAAAACTTGTCTGATTCCATTTTCTAGCCTAACTATTTACCACTTTTCCATCCACCAATCATGAGAGAATTTCCTAGTTTTGCACCCTTTATAAGCTTCATTATCTCATTTGCACATTCCTGATTCTCTTCTCTTTGCCTCTTCACCAAGTCTGAGCTTTCATTTACAAGAAGAGGCCAGATAACAGTAAGATCCTAAGCTTTCATCTCATCCCTTCATCTCTTCTCCTTAAGGTTTCCATCCCTGTTGTCTTCTATCTCTGAGTTTCTATCTTAAGCTTGGATTGTATTATTGGTTGGGGATGTTTAGGAGGTGAAGGAGGTTGTAGCTAGCTAAGGAAGAGGTGGAATCCCAGCTAGAAGAACAAGAAGTCTACAAAGGTATAAACCCATGGATTCCTTCTTGAATTTGGCTCTGTGAAGCCTTGTTATTGAGTAGAAATTATGATATTTTGTTGTGTTTATGCTTAGAAGCGATCTAGTATTTGTTTTTGAGTTGTTGAGAATGTTTTGGACTTGTTTGGTTTGAGATTGCATATGAAAATGCCATCTGGTGCACACACAGAGTGCACCAGATCAGACCAGCGGCCCATCAGGAGGGCCGCCGGCTAGAGCCGTGGTTACAGGGACTATGGCACCGCCCTAGAGGAGGGCCGCCGCCTAGTCCCGATGGAGTAACGGTACTCATGGGGCGGACCATGAGGAGTCCCGCCCCAGGTCACTGAGTATGATTCTGAGGAGATTTCGTGCAGTGGCCGGGCCCTTGTGGCTCAGTTACGTGTCGTTTCGGGCCGATTGTTACGGGCCCTTGTGGCTCGGCTCTTCGAGACCATCTCGACGCACGTTTTGGCTTTGATTTCGTTGAATTTGGATCAAAAATGAATAAGTTATAAAGAAATTGTGAAGAATTTGCTACACAGTATATATTTGGCTAAGTTCACTGTGAACAAGAAATGCTTGATAATGTGATCCGTTGATATTTTTGTGTTGAGTAGAGAAGCATGATTCTTTGAGAATATGATTTATTATGAAAGCATGACTAGATTGTGATATTTGATCAATGAGAAATGAAGCATATTTTTATTGTTAAAAATGTATAGAATTTGCTATATTGCAAATCGAGCATGATTTTATATTCTTGAGTACTTCATGTTATTTTATACATGGTTTAGAAGCATGTTATAGAGTATTTGGCATCTAACATATGTCATATTTCAAAAATGCATAAGGAGCCAACGTGAGCCCAAGAAATATTTTCAAAAACCATAAGCATGTGGCATATCATTCTTTGATGAATTAAGAAGTTGTAGAGTTGTTGCATGCATGAGATTGATGCATGAGAGATATATTTATGTATTATCTATATCGGTGAGGTTTTGGAAGATCCCGTTTGGACTATGTCCTCTCGGATGATTTTTATGGACATTGCGGTCCCAGTATATGTAGCGCGGTGTATTCTCACGTTACGAGGTTGGAGACTGCCCGCCAGGCTTGGAATCCTGGTTAGGGGGTGTGCACACTAAAAGATCGATACTACAGCACGTGAACCACGAGATTGGTTCCGTAGATGGTAGGAGATATTGGGTCGGATTTACGCCGTTCCCAATGGGGCAATTCACGCTTCGGAGAAACCCTGAGTCGTCTACGAGCGAAAAGAAAAGAAAGAGAGTCAAGAAAGACTCAAGTGAAAGAAAGCGAATCAAGAGATACTCAAGAGAAAGAAAGCGAGTCAAGAAAGACTCAAGAGAAAGAAAGCGAGTCAAGAGAGACTCAAGAGGAAGAAAGCGAGTCAATAGAGACTCAAGAGAAAAGAAAGCGAGTCAAGAGAGACTCAAAGAGACCTCCACAGAAAGTATTCTATTTTTTTACAACGAGTGTACATGAGTATTTATATATAGTATTGCACGAGATTGCATATGAGTATGATTATAGAATTGCACAAGATTGCATATGAGTATGAATATAGAATTGCACAAGATTGCATATGAGTATGATGTATAGTGTTGCACAAGATTGCATTTGAATAGAGTATCACATGAGATTACATAATGAGAATGTTGATTTAAGGTTGTCCATCAAGCATGATTATTTTGTTATATTTGAAGCCTTGCATATCAAGCTTATGTGATGAGAATGTAAGAGCATGAGAATATCTGTTATATGGTTTATTAGCATGATCCTACCTACAAGCACGAGTTGTTTGTTAAGTTATTTGAAGTGTTTATATGTTGGAGTATCTAAGTGTTCACCCTTGTATATATAAACATGTCAGTTGATATCATAGGTTGCAAGCATCTAGAAAGTATGTGATAGATCTAAAGATGATTTGAGATGAGTTTATTGTTTTCAAAAGAAATCAAATATTTTCAAAGTATATCTATAATGCTTTACAGGGTTGAGTGTGGTTATACTTAGCTTCGTGTTAACAGGTGTTTTCCTATTTGTCTATGTGTTGCTTGCAAAACTCCTTTCATGTGGGCCCAGTAGTGAGAAGAGATCGAGTTAGATTAGTCTCGTAGTTTGAGATGTCTAAACTCTAGATATGTTTATGATTTTGTTATGGATTCTAGACTTATGTTGATTTATGGATTTGATGATGGTGTAGACTTTTGGGGTAACTTTTTCCCCTTATGTTTTTAGTATTTGTTATGAATGCCAGATATTTATGTTATTTCTAGTATTACCCCTTAGCCTGTGCAATCACCACGGAGTGGTGGTTGTGGCGGTGACACTCCCACTAGTCATCTTTTTAGTTTAATTTTCGCTACTTAGTTTACGTTAATGTTTGGATTAGAGTTATGATTAAGAGATAGAAAAGTGGGGCGTTACACCTTGAAGGAGGTCTACCTGAAGTTTATGAAGTGATTCCCAATTTTCTAGAGAGAGGTCATCATCATAGGCATTCTCAGCTTCTGCCACATTGGACTCTAGGCTTCTAACATAATCAAATACATTCCCGAAAGTATCCCGGTTCCAAATACGAAGGCCCTTCTTGGGGCGCTTTAATTTGAAATCCAGGGATCTCATTCCTCCTCCATCGGCCGGCTGATTCCAATTCAGACTTACAACATTCTTGAAACCTGGGTGGGATGTCCACATGCTTTCAAAGCAGAATTGTTTTGGGGCCAGACATGGTGTTGTTAGCCCCGCTCAGAAGAATCAAGGAGTGATTTGAAGACGTCCTGGCCAACACATTTCGGATGCCATGCCGAGCTTTATTTAAAAGAGACAAATTAAGATGAGCTTGTTTCTCTTACTATTGTATTTCTTAATTTGGTAGGGTAAAAAACAATATAATACCTTTTAAAAATTATTTTACCTATTATTGTATTGTTATGTTATAGAGTTAAGGGAGAAAAAAGAAAAGGTGACATAAAGTTGGGAGTTCGAACTCATGCACATGCACTAAACAAAAATTAGTCTTATATCAAGAGATGCAAATATCAATACAATATACTTTTAAAAAAAAAAAAAAAAAAAGTTAACAAGGTGTTCTACACTCTAAGGCTATGTTTGGCAAACTTAGCTGAAAGTTAAAAAGCTATAAGCTAGAAGCTAAAAACTGAAGAGTTGTTAACTAGTTGATTATGCTTTAAAAGTGTTTGGTAAAATAGCTTTTTGATAAGCTGATAAATGTAAAAAGACTAAAAAGGACATTTTCATAAAATTTAAATAATGTGATTATTATATTTTTTTATATTATTAAATATATGAGATATATTTAATTTTTTTAAAAAAAAAGTTTTTGTTTTTATAATATATATGAGATACATATTAAATTAAAAAAAAAAGTTTTAATTGGTAAGGGTAAAGGATGTCATTTATTTATGAACGGACGATTGGAGTTAGAACTTTAAGGACTTGCTGTGTGGTGAAGAGTTGTGGAAGAGGATGAATAA